CGTCCGACGGCAAACGCTACAATGTTTTGTCATTCGCCGAAATTGGCAGCAACAGCAATTTACTCGCACTTGTTGAAAAACCGAAGGTACCAGAGGTCCAAACGCTTTCGGGGCCCTGGGAGCGGGTCATTGGTGAAGGAGGGATCTACTTAACTCAAGCCAAAATATTACTTTTCTATCTGTTTTTCTCTTCGTTATATGAATAAGATCTGCGGCACTTTTGAATGGGATGACCTAATAAACGTAGCTACCCTAACCCTGCAATCTTCTTCCTCTAGAACTATGACGTTGAGAATTAGGATTACTGTTTTTTTTTCCTCAAAGCATGAGGGATGCAACGGCTCAATTCGCAAGATCAGTTTTTCTTTAAAGTTCATTCTGTGTATCAAAACAATTCATTTCGTTTCATCAAATCAATTCCGTTTCTTCAATGACGTAAGATTGAATTTCGAAGTCGCTTAACAACATGTACAGGCACTAGTCAATCTGAGCACCTCAACAATAACTATGAGCGCCCTTTTGATTAACAAGTATCACTTAGAGGCGGCAACAACGAAACATTTGTGATCCTATGTTCACATTCGGTAGAACGTTCCTCGTTTATACTTTGTCGCCTTCCCAGCTGAAGGGGTCATTTCGAGCGGGACGAGTCGTCCACGCAGTATAAAGACCATCAATCCAGCCAAAGTAATCGCCACCAAATGATACACCATGATGTATTTGTAGCCAGACGTTTCAAATAAAGCCCTGAATCAAGTTAGAATGTGAAGGCCTACTTTACAGACCTGCGGAGAGGGCTCTTCGTACAACTATAATAATTTTTCTTACGTGGAAAATATAGGAACGGTGAACTGTGCCATACTTCCTGTGAAAGCAAATAGTCCTTGAATTGCACCCTGAAAAATGGCCTCGTCATGATCTTCAACTGCTTGCTTTTTACTAATCCCATGCGGTTAGAATTACTTGTACCTGTTTCCGAGGACCAACTATCTCTGACAGTAGTGTGTTCGAGGGTGCTGATATTAGCGGAAAGG